AAGTTTATTCTTCGGAAACAAAATTATGCAGAAGTAACAAAAATAAATCACTTCAATCCAGACTTCAAAAAGACATTTCCTAGAATTAACGAAGCAGTTAATTATGGAACAAACATGATAAATAAAAATAGGTATGAAGCACTGAGTAACCTTCAAGAACAAGAAATAAATATTGATCAAAGTAGGTTAATGCTGATGAATAAACCTAGAAGAATTATGGAAAGAAGACAAACTGAAAATGGCAGATATATACAAATGAATAACAGGAATTTAAAACAATTTAAAACAAACAAGTGGAGAAAGAAATTCACAAAGGCGCGAATATTGCGGCAAAAATATAGAAATAGAAGAAATTAGGAAAATACAAATAATCCATGAGGAGCTAGTTAAAAAACTGAGAGAAAAAATAAGGAACAAAGAGTGTGATGATCTAGAGGAAGTTGTGGTAAAATTTAAAAAGGATATGGATATAATTTACGAGAAGTATAATAGTGTGGAAGTTAGAAATATTAGTGAACAACAAAATAAAGTTGGTTTTGATAATAATAACATAAGTTGAAATTATTAGAAGTAAAAGAAAATTAATAAACGTTTAAACAGTTGAATTCAAATTAAAACCAAATCTATAAATTTCATTATGCATTTATTACAGTGGAACATTAGATCGTTTATTCTAACAAAGAAAGTTTGGAAATCTTTTTATATCAAAATAAAACTGATGTTATATTTTTATCAGAATCCTGGTTTAAATGGAACCGACGGTACTATTTAAAAAATTACAATATAATCAGAACTGACAGATATGACGGGAAAGGTGGAGCGGCTATAATTATTAACGAAAGAATTAACTATCAGATTGTAAATATAGATATTGGAGAAATAGATATAAACAAATTCCAATTATGTGCAATATCAATAATATTAGGAGATAAAAAAATATATTTGGTATCAATATATATATCGCCAGGTACACACGTTACGAAACAACAATGGAATTATTTATTTGAGAATATTCCTAGACCGTTCATTATAGCTGGAGATGTAAATGCGCATCACCATTCCTGGGGATGTAACTATAATGATAATTACGGAATGAATTTAATGGAATCAATTGAAGAGTGTAATTTATTTGTATTAAATAATGGTTCCCCAACACTTGTGTTTAAAAACACTAAAACTGTAGTTGATGTTACAGTGTGCTCTTCTGAAATATTTCATTTAATAACATGGAAAGTAATAGAGAAAAACTTAGGCTCTGATCATTATCCTATTTATTTTTATTTGGATATAGTGAGAAGTAACAGGATATTGATTCCCAATAGAAAATGGAATTGTGGTAAAGCTGATTGGCAAAAATATAAAATAATGATTGAACATGAAATCTTATCATTGGGCAATCATTTAGATAGTAACATTTATGAAAAATTCACAAATATTATAAATCAAACTGCGGAAAAATGTATACCAATAAATAAAATGTTAACAACATCTCAAGTGAGGAAACCAGTGTGGTGGGATGAAGAATGTTTTAAACTGGTAGAAGAACGAAGAAAAGCAGAAAAGAACTTTAGAAGAAATTCGAGTTTAGAAAATTTTCTTCAGTGTTGTAATAAAATTAAAGCTAAAGTTCGGAAAGAACTAAAAATAAAGAAAAGAGAAAGTTGGTGTAAATTTGTCAACAATCTAAATCCTAATACCCCATCTAAATTATTTTTAAAATGGTTAAATCAATGAACAATTATATTTCACAGAATGAGAAGAATTCAGAATTGATTAATGATAAAGTAGTGGAAGAAGTAGTTGATAATATTGCGCCCTTTGGAGTGGGTGATGATATTTGTAAATATCTTAAAGGAAATAGAGTAACAGGTTCGGTAGAAAAGTCATTAATTAGACCATTTTCATTATGGGAATTAGAAAAATCTTGGAGCAAAATCAAAGATACTGCTCCAGGATTAGACAACATTCATTATTCTATGTTAAAAAACCTTCCACAGTCCGGAAAAGAAATTCTACTCAAAATTATTAATAAGTATTGGCTGTCACCGAATGAAATTCCTGATTGGAATAAATTTAGAGTTAATTTAATTAAAAAGAAGAGCAATAATTCTGATGATAGCAATGCATATAGACCTTTGCTAAAATTACTTTGGCGTCATGTATTGCTAAAATAAAAGATAGGATGATAAAAAGAAGAGTCGAGTGGTGGATTGAAAACAATCAGTTACTGCCCAAAAGCCAATTTGGCTTTAGAAAAGGATTAAGCACATAAGATAGTCTAAGTATATTTTCCACAGACATACATCTAGCCATTTCAAGAAACACTTATGTCGTTGCACTGTTTTGCGATATAAAGGGTGCATACGATAATGTGGTGCCGGGAAAATTAGCAGAAAGTCTTGTACATGCTGTCTTACCAGAAAAATTGATCAAAGCTATGGTATATACTACCTTTAATAGAGAAATAGAAGTTAAAATAAATGAAAATGCAAGGATTGGAAGAGTTCTTCGACAGGGTCTACCTCAAGGAGCTATCCTTAGTCCTTTATTATATGCTCTATATATACGGGATATAGAAGGTATATGGTTGGAAGGTACGAAAATTCTACAATATGCAGATGATTTATTGATCTATATTGAAAAAGATAATTTGAAAGAGGCCATCGATATGATGTCTATGAATATGGAATTGCTGCATATTTGGTTGAATGAGAAAGGTCTGGAACTATCAGATGATAAAAGCTCCATAGGAATATTTACGAGGCATTCCAACAAAAAGTTCCCAGCTTGTATTTCAAGTCCATATAATACAATTAAAATTCATTGCAACAATAAATTCCTAGGTATATATTTTGATCAAAAAATGACTTTTAAATATCATATGAATTATATTAAAAAAAGAATTGAAAAAAGACCAGTTTAATGAGACTGATAAACAGTACTTGGTGGGGTTCACACCCTATCACATCTATTAATTTATATAAAACCATAATTAGATCAATACTGGAATATGGTAGCATAATTTTTGGACATTCAAATATGGTAAATGAGCTTGAAAAAATTCAATACAAATGTTCAAGATTTTGCGCAGGTATGATGAGATCGACACCAACAAATGTACTGTTATTAGAAACTGGTGTTATGTCACTAAAAGTCAGATATGAATGGTTGAGTGATAAATATATGTTGAAAAAAATTAATTTCAATTCATCTGAAATATATGACAGAATTAATGATTTAAATAATGAATGCGAACGTAATATTTATTGGCTGAATAAAAAAATACCTATTATTATTCAGAGTTTTAGAGAAGTAATTAAATATCAAGAAAGTATGTATTCATTCAGCATTCATCCTTATTAATAATAAAATATATTTTGACAGTTGTATATTTGATAATATTATAAATATCGATTTATTAAAATCTGTTAATAATAATCCAGATGCAGAAGTTATATGTACGGATGGATCGAAGGATATGGACAATGTAGGTTTTGCTATATATAAAGAAACCGATCAAACAAGTGAATGTTACAAGTTACCAGGGTGTGTCTCTGTCTATACAGCGGAGTTATTTGCAATTAAGGAGGCCATAAGAAAAGCTAAAGAACAGAATTATAATAAAACAATTATAATTACGGACAGCATGAGCTGTATCAATAAATTACAAGTGTTTTTTAGAGATCTAAATTTAGAAGAAAAAATTTATTTTGATATCTTGCAAGATTTGGAGAAAATTAAAGAAAATGGAAAGGATATAAGAATAGGATGGGTAAAAGGTCACTCCGGAATTTCAGGAAACGTAAAAGCTGATGAATTAGCCAAATACGCTTGCTTAAAGGGAATGGAATATAACCAAGTATTAAATAAAGATATAATAAAAGTTATGAAAAATAAAGCAGTTAATAAATGGAAAACGGATTGGCAAATAACATCAAGATATAAAGGAAAATATTATAAAGGGGTTAACGACTTTGTTAAAAAGGTACCTTGGTTTTATCAATTCAAAAATGAAGACAGATACTTTATAAGTACGATGAACAGAATAAGGTGTAACCATGGACATTTCCCAGAACACCTGTTCAAAATAAAGATGAGAGAGTCAGCTATGTGTGACTGTGGGAAGGATGTGGGATCTTTGGAACATATAATTTTAACTTGCAGCAGATATCAAGAAAATAGGGATTATTTATTATATGAATTATATAGAATTAAAAATTTAGTTAAACCATTTAATTTATTTAGTTTACTGTCAAATATTGATTATTATAAAATTATATATAATTTTTTAGTTAAATGTAAAATTAGAATATAAATGTAGGAAATATAAATGTTGTATATGGCTAGTTTGTAAATAAGAGGCCAAATAAAATAAATAAAAAAAAAAAAAAAAAAAGAATCAAGATGATGGCTGGTCATACCACCTCTTCGAAGTCAAAGGCTTTTTAAACAAATTCCAAACGAATAGCATGTCTCGATGAGAAGAGCTTTTTAAATCTTTTCGTTTATTTTATTTTTATTTTTATTAATTTAATATTTATTAAAAAATTATCGTCATGTAACTTGTTGTTATATTAATTGATGTATCATATATTTTGTGTTTTTCTGTGTTTTTCTTTATATTATTTGTAGGCACTGAAGATGGGTTAAATCAGAACTTGAAACGTTTGACACCACAATACAAGCATTTTTCTTCACTAAAATTGTTTAATTATTAGATGTCTGCCCAAGATCAACTTTTATTTGTAACTAAAGCCGTCTATCGCGGAAAACGAAACGAACTTTTTACTTGGCCCAATATATATACATATATATATATATATATATATATATATATATATATATATATAACAATACACATATGTTATGAACATATATTTTAAACATATGTTATAAACATATGCAGCAGCTACGTTCTACATTAAAATTTGAAACAATACATTATTAAAATAACTTGAACAAACCGCATGTTAAAAATATATTTATTTATTTTCACTTACATATTGTCACACAATTTCTCGAACCGTTTAACTCATTATGGTTAATTATATGCAGTTAGAGTAAACTAGATATTTAATTATGCATTCTAGGTGTTTATTTACATTATTTACGGTATCAGTTAGAGATGATAAGTGAATTTGAAACAGTTCCACAATACATTGCACGTGCATTCTCGTGACATATGTTTTATAGATATTTCGATTCAATAATTGCGCCTGTAATATTCCAGTTAAACAATTACATCACTTATATACATAGTGGCTCTTATCAATATGTAAATTAATAATTTTGTTTATTCAATTCGAATGATCTACGTTTGATTTTCGTATACTTTCCTTAACAATTATAATTGTGATAATATGAATGCATTTTGAGCTAAATTCACTTATTCCGAATTGAGGTCAAATATAGACGAGAATATTTAAATTGTAATTTGATAAAATTGTATAATAAGGAACGTAAAACTAGAGAAAGTGAAGAATACTATTTTTTAAGCTATAAAACGATCAGTTAAGGCAAAACTTATATGAGTGCATGCAAATTTAATTACAATTACAAATGTATTTCAATCGTTAGTATCGCACTGCAAATAAAAAATGTTTCATAATAATTTTAATAATATTTTTCTATTTTTGTTTCAAGAGTTTACTTTTCATTTGTGGCTCATTAATTTTATACAATCAATCAGTGTGCCCAATTATAATATAGTATCATTTTATTATGGATTTTAAATAATATTGAGTATTTATTTTTGATGATTAATAATAGTATAATTTTAATATGGACTTTTTACTAATCAACATTATTAATTTCTCGTAGGGTAAGTTACAGTAATCGCAAAGAAATCGAAAATCAAAATTTTTATATATCTTTACGTTTCAGAGGTTTCTGAACATTTTGGCATACCTTAATAGATATATGAGTGTTTTTTTGTATAGCGAAGGAAATGCCTTTATGCATCCCAGACCGGTCTTCTGTCTGGGTATGTCGGACTCGATACCGCCCTGGTATAATACCGACTAAAACCTCCGCTTTGCCCTTGCCTCTGGTCCCCACGGAAACCGCCGTTAGGCATTACTTCGTGGGGGGAGGATCTAGAATGATATAAATTCTTAACTTGTTATAATCAAAGTTATAATTCATGAACATTATACTTATCTTTCAAATGGGCGAAGTCCCATTCGCCCTTTCTCTCTCTATAGAACGCAGGTTCTCAATACGTCTCTCACAAATCTGTCTATGGCGTTCCAAGCAGCATCACTTGCCAGCATCACTTCAATCATATGGATGTATGAGTGTGTGTGTGTATGTGTGTGCGTGTGTGTGTGCGGATACAAATGTTCAACCGATTTCGATTATTCAAAAAACATTCGATTGCTGTTGATAAGGAGACGTGCTGATTAGTTTTTGGCATAAACATGTCTAGCCGTTTCAAAGATACGGGGCAAAAAGTGCCACAAACGGTAACTCAGTTTTTAAGAGAACAGAGCGTCCGATTTTAATAATTCAAAAAACATTTTACTTTTATTTACTTTACAAGATGAAAAATTGATCAAATTTTCATGAAGGCATATCTAGCGGTTTCGGAGATCTAATGAAAAAAGTAAAAAAAAAAGCCAATTGGCGGTCAAAAATGATCATTAGATATATGCACATCAAATTATCAGATATTTTATAGAGATTTTAACAATAAGTATAAATTTTGTTTACATTCCTATGGGTTCCGTACCAATGTTTATTCGTTAGACGGCGACGCGGCGCTTACGCTCTTCGATATTTCGTCTCTATGCTGTTAAAGCAGTATGATTGCTTTGGAAAAAGTTCAGAATTTCCAAAGTATTTTAAAATAAAGAAAACATTTTTTTTTCAAAAAGCCTTTTTTTCAAAAAAGTTCAATTTTTGTCAAAATTTTATAGTTTATCAAAAACTATTTTTTTTAAAGTAATTTTTGTTCAAAAATGTTAATCTTAAAAAAAAATATAGTTCCTGAAGTTCGAACAATTTGCCTTAAGGCACGATGCTAGGCGCCCTACTAGTTTAATACTGATTTATTAGTGTTTTTGCGTTAATATTATTTGTACTATGGTGGCATATTGTTTTGCATACATTTTGTAATAATAGATATATTTGAGAGATTACCATTTTATTACTATTACTTTTTATTCACTCTTATGAATTTTCCCGTCCAAACTTTATTTCAAACTTCTTGATCCCGTGCTTCATTTTTCATTTCTATGTGTTTTTCTTTTCGCATAAGTCATCAATCATCTGCTTTCTTATTATTCTCTGTTTTGGTTATTGGTATAACTACGAGATCATGTGCGTACTTTATTGTGTTGTTTCTTTCTATTTAATTCGTTATTGCCCAGGTTTTTCAGCAGGTCTGCCGGTATGTCGTAACCTTCTGTTGCTTTCCACCTTCTGAGGTCCTTTATTGTTCTCGCGACTGACCAGAGATCTCAGGATGCACGGTTGCTTGTCGTGTTTGTTCACCTCTTTCTCTCGAACTTAATATTGTCAAGTCGATTTCCTCTATCGTGCAATTTCCCAATGAATTTCTTCAAATCTTTGAGAATGTGGACATCGACTGTAATCAATAGCTAACTACGAAACACGGAACGTACATTGCGCAGCGGCATAGATTCTGATTAGAATCGCTTAAACTCTCGTCGAAATTTTAAATTTTGATGATTTTTTATAATTCTTCTGCTTACACATTCAACTTGTAGGCCTATGATATTTTAACTTGTTATTTTTGACTACAAAATCTATCGATATATATACATGGTATCATCAAAATCGTCAAATGAAAAAACGGCCTGGTTTATCTTTGCCAAAAATAAATCAACGCCATTCCCATTTTAAATAATTTTTTTCAAATATGCCCTCATTCGATACAGAATCACTTGAAAAATCGAGATAACATTAAAATCAGCAAATCGGATTTTTTCGCTAAAACATAAACTTCTTCTTCGGGAAGTTAATAATGATAACTTTTGAACAAGATTATTTTTTGTTTAACGTTTATTTTTCCGCAACTAATGCTTTTGCAATGGGGCCCTATGGTGGTACTCCATTTTTATTTTATCTAATTTTGATTAAAAAAACGTTAATAGTCATTCACACGCTGTTTTACTACTGGCTAAAACAATTTTTAATGAATTTTATCACAATTAGCAAACCAATTTCGACTAATTTATATTTTATGGCTTTAATTAATGAAATTGTACAAAAGGTAGAAAAGTAAAGTATTGATTTAAAGGTTTAATTATAAGTAATTATATAAAAATAACATAAAACACATAAAATTTAAATTTTCTTGAAAAGCAAACATAAAATATTAGTGAATATTTTCAACGTTAGAATAAATGGAAATTAAAATCAAATGTATTTTTTTAATAAAAATTAATAAATAACACTTTCTTAAATTTAATTATTACATAACCTACCATTAACAATTTCTTTTTTTTACTGTAATTATTGAGTAGTGATGTTCGAACTTTATAAAAATTTATGATTTAAACAATACCCCTAATTGAAAACAGTATTGATAAGTATTCATTTTCTCGGAAATCCAATCTGTTTCAATACCTTTTGAATTTTTTTAACGAAGATGAAGACATTTGTCATCTAGCTTCTTCTTGAAGAAACAGTAGTTAACCCTGCACCTATTCAAAATCAAATAAAAACTAGTGGGGCGCATGGCATCGTGCCTTAAGGCAAATTGCTGGAACTTCCCGTACCAAAAATTATTTTTTTTTTGAAAAGATTAACATTTTTTAAAAAAATTTACTCTAAAAAAATAGATTTTTGAGGAACTATATAAATTTTTGACAAAAGTTTTTGTTGAAAAATTTATTTTGAAATATTTTGGAAATTTTGAACTTTTTTTCAAAGCAATCGTACTGCTTTAATGCATAGAGACTAAATATCGAAGCGCGTAAGCGCCGCGTCGCTGTCTAACGCATAAGCATTGGTACGGAACCCATAGGAATGTTAACAAAATGTATACTCATTGTTAAAATCTCTATAAAATATCTGATAATTTGATGTGCATATGTCTAATGTCTAATGATTATTGTTGACCGCCAAATGTTATTTTTTTTTACTTTTTTTACTAGATCTCCGAAACCGCTAGACCTAATTTCATAAAAATTTCATCAAATCTTCATCTTGATAATGCAAGTAAAATGTTTTTGAATTATTCAAATTGCTTCATCCCGATTCCCGAAATCGTCGACGAAAATTTGTATCTGAACACACACAAATGCACGCACACACACACATACACACACATACATCAATTTTCTCTAAGGTATGCCAATATATTCAGAAACCTTTGAAACGTAAAGATATATAAAAATTTTCATTTTCGATTTTTGTGCGATTACTATAACTTATCCTACGGAAAGTTAATTATAAATAAATCAATTTATCACCTCCAGAACATTAACAATCGTCATTTCATTTCGAATCAAATTTCAAAAAAAAAAAATAGTTGCCAAATTTCCACAAAATTGAAAAAGTGCTCCCGCATAGTCACAGTCTAAACGCATTTGCAAATAATTCTGTGCGATATTTTCACTTATACTGTGCTCAGCTTGGCGGCATTTTCACATTTTTCAATAATTTTCACAAAATTGGAAAAGTGCTCCAGTACAAAAACAGTCTAAACGCACTTGGGTAAACATTTGTACCAGAGTGGCGCTTAGACTGTGTTTAGCTTGGGTGATTTTTTGAATTTTTAGTCCAAAATTACAAAAAATATTTTTTGAAAAAAAAAAATTTTTTTTTTCCAAAATCAATTGTTTTGTTGAAAAAAGCAGAAAGTTCTTTGAATCATTTAAATCGGACGCTTAGTTCTCTCAAAAACAGCCATTTTTTTTAAATTTAGCTCTGTAACTCCGAAACCTCTGGGCCTACCTTTGCCAAAAACTAATCAGCACATCTCCCTATCAATAGGAATCGAGTGTTTTTTAAACCATTCAAATCGGTTGATCCGTTCTCTCAAAAATTCG